ATTTTTGTTTTTTTGTTCTGATGTTTTTATTCATTTTTTGTTTATTTGTTAATTTGTGGATGTCAGCAAAATCTACTTTATTATTGTTATTATTATTAATAATAATAATAATAAAAAGAGCATGTTGACTGTGTAAGATGCTTGTAAAAAATAAAAATCATACTCGATTGGAACAACACGATGGTGAGTAAATGAGTAAAAGTTAGTAAATAAAATTTGCTAAATTTTCCTTAAACATGCAGAAACCTTATGTACGGTTATGATACCACTGTTTAAAAGAAATACTATGGTAACACCAGTGTTTTGAGGCTTGAGTACGACAATTCTAACATGGCCTTGGGATACAAGTTACTTGAGACCAGTATTTTCAATATAGTGTCATGTCCACTCTTGTGTCTCCAATCAGACTGTGTAGTGATCCTGATCTGCTGTTCTTTCCAGTGCCAGATCACTTCACCACAGCTTCTTTTTTTTTTTCTTGCTCAGGGCTTCAAATTGGTTGTTGGATCCTCAGTGGGCCGATTAAACGAGGGCAGTCTCATTCTCAGCCTCTCATTAACCAGCAAGAACAATCCTTCCTCTGTCTCTGTTGCTTTCACAGAGAGCCTCATTCAAGCTTCCTGAACTTTCTAAAACAGCACTCTGCAATCTGTCTTTATGATAAACACCTTCAAATACGATCACTTCTTTCACTCAGGAAACCTCTCTGCCTGATTTTTCTGTCTTCATTGTAAATCATCTATTGAAATGATGTTTGCACAAGTTTGTCAGGAGATTCTGTTGACAGAGGTCGAGGGAATTGTGGGGGTGGGTCTAGTTCGAGGGCTTTGCCGGCTCTCATTGATTCTGAAGTTGCAGGGGGCGGAGCTTAGAGCTTCAGAGCCCCTATGAAGCAGTGAGTGTGGCACTTTCCTGAAGCAGCATTATCAGAAATATGCATTAGATAATAGTGTTTTTTTTAAAAGGACAAGGAAAGAGATTGAGCTGAGATCGCAACCTTAACTAGACTCTTTCGTTTCCTGTAGAACCTGGACCACAAGACACACTTTTGCACTTTGCTGCAAAGCGTGGACTACGCAAGGTAGCACTGTTTCTCCTCCAGCAACCCGGAGGAAAAGAGGCCCTCCAACTTCCCAACAAACAGGGTCGTACACCGGCCAGGGTCGCCCAGAAGAGAGGCCACACGCAGCTCCAGAAACTGCTGACGGAGTAAGTATGCGAGGAAATGATATATTTAACCAGGATTTCTGGCTCGTTTTTAGCAACCTTTCTGATTCCAAGGCCCCCACTGTCGAAAACAATATCTAAAGGCTCCCCAAAATATTTCTGATACTTCTGCTATAATGACAATGTGGATTATATTGAGAGTTTTTATTTACAGAAAGAGTGGCAATATACACTGAACAAAATTATAAACGCAACACTTTTGTTTTTGCCCCCATTTTTCATGAGCTGAACTCAAAGATCTAAGACTTTTTCTATGTACACAAAAGGCCTATTTCTCTCAAATATTGTTCACAAATCTGTCTAAATCTGTGTTAGTGAGCACTTCTCCTTTGCCGAGATAATCCATCCACCTCACAGGTGTGGCATATCAAGATGCTGATTAGACAGCATGATTATTGCACAGGTGTACCAGATGTCGTAAGTTTTGAGAGAGCGTGCAATTGGCATGCTGACTGCAGGAATGTCCACCAGAGCTGTTGCCCGTGAATTGAATGTTCATTTCTCTACCATAAGCCGTCTCCAAAGGCGTTTCAGAGAATTTGGCAGTACATCCAACCGGCCTGACAACCGCAGACCACGTGTAGCCACACCACACCAGCCCAGGACCTCCACATCCAGCATCTTCAGCTCCAAGATCGTCTGAGACCAGCCACCCGGACAGCTGCTGCAACAATCGGTTTGCATAACCAAAGAATTTCTGCACAAACTGTCAGAAACCGTCTCAGGCAAGCTCATCTGCATGCTCGTCATCCTCATCGGGGTCTCGACCTGACTGCAGTTCGTCGTCGTAACCGACTTGAGTGGGCAAATGCTCACATTCGATGGCGTCTGGCACTTTGGAGAGGTGTTCTCTTCACGGATGAATCCCGGTTTTCACTGTACAGGGCAGATGGCAGACAGCGTGTATGGCGTCGTGTGGGTGAGCGGTTTGCTGATGTCAACGTTGTGGATCGAGTGGCCCATGGTGGCGGTGGGGTTATGGTATGGGCAGGCGTATGTTATGGACATGTTGCGTTTATAATTTTGTTCAGTGTATGTTAAAATAAATAATTCTGAATAATCAGAAAATTCAGTTCCATAATCCCAATAGCTGAATGTTTTACCTTTATTATTACTGGTAAATTTACATGACTTCTAGTTTGTAATTACATGGGTTTTATTTAAGATCTATACAGTAAATACAGTATTTATTTTAATAATAATACCTTAAATGAGTCCTAATAAAATTATGTAATGATGTTTAGATAGTATTTTTGCCTTGTTCTGTTGTAAAACTTATACAAACATGCATTTGAGACAAATTCATACAGCCTTTGTCATTATTGTTCCCCTGCAAATCTTGATCTATGAAATCTGACCAGATTAATGTCAAGAATAGGCTGTTACAAACCGCAGACTTTATCAGACAGAATGGACGTTGTGACCTTTGAAATGCCTTAAACAAATACAGCTTTATCGTATTTGTTGTTTTCAAACAAAAAAAAGTTAAGTCACACTTGTAAAGGTAAAGTTGCAAAAGTCATTATTTTTCAGATGTCCTATAAACACTCCCCACATCTTCCACTGGTCAGCCACACAGATCCGTTCAGGCAATGTTTGTGTTGGGCTGATTTGGATTCTCAAAAAGAGCAAGAGTCAGATTTATAATAATAAAGCAATGATTTTATCATGTGAATGAGGCAAGATTTAGTGTTGTGTTCTGAAGAAAGGAGGATGTGGGGGAGATAAGAGCAAAGCACAAGGACAGGCCATGTGGCTCTGAGCTCTGTGTAAACAGTTAAAGCCACATAAGCTTTTTAAAGCAAGCCTTTGCAGTCTGCAACAGAAACCTGTTTCAAACCAGCAAGCTCCTGTCTGCAGATTTACTCAGTAAAGTGGCATTACCTGTGCGTGTGTAACAGAGACCTTTACCTTTTATCAGCTTCCTCCAGCCATTGCTCTTCACAGTCTATAGCTAGCAAACCTGTGTGGGACAGATTCCATATGTTCCCCTACTTGACTATTCTAAAACAGGGCACCAAGGCAGTCTGTGTACTCCTCAGGGTTGAAAACTAAGCACATCTCTCCCCTGCTCATATATTTATGAGATGAGAGAGCTATGCTTGTTTTGATCCTGTTTTTATATCTCTTTCTGAGTTTAATCTGACGTATACCCGTGACCTCACATCTGTTAAATTAGGTTTGAATTCAAGCCTATATATGACAGTTAGTCTAAATGATTGTATTAATACTAGAGAGATGCGACACTCTAGGAACCATTTCCTGTTAGCGGTGTCACCCAGACTGATGTCTACCGGGTCACTGGCTGCCCAGCTTTGGTAAAGCCAATGAAATGTGATCACAGACAGAAGGATATAGGAGAGACCATAGCTAGCGTGTGATCTGTGCTCTCTGGATTCAAGGGTCTGTTATAGAAGGCCTTTAAGTGCTTTGGTTTAGTGCCTCATTTAAAGCAAGTGTACTGAACCACGGCACACCCTTAGATGTTGCCTCAACTCTTTCCATCAAAGCTCATGGTATTTTGTTAGTGGTTTCTTTAAGATATTTTGATGTACTTTTGTCATAACTTTCTATGAAGTCATTAAAACGCAGTATGTAATATTTTATAATATGCACTGATCTGTTATAATACATTATATTACTTGGCTATTTATGGTTTCACCTTTAGAGTATAATGCATAAAGTATAATACATGATCAACACATTTTATGTGTTATCAAATAAAAGTATTATAACTGTGGTTTCAATTATATACAAGTTTGAATATATCTAAATAACATTGTTTTAATGTTACCATTTTATGCCATTATGTTGTGTAGAAGGCAAACAGCAGATGATTTGTTCAGCTCTCCAATCCTTCAGAGTTTAGCCTTTAACGTCTGTCATTTGGCTAATGCTCAGGCTGCCTAAAATATTCCTCTCAGGTCTGCAAGACCTTAAGAGCTTCTCCTTTTCACTTTGCACTCTTTAGTTTCCTGTGAGTGATGTCACAGGGTTTCTATGGATACCGTTTTGGACCTTAGATACACAGCAGGTGTAAACAGTTCCTGTTGTTACCCATGTGTCAGAGCCCTGGGGACAATCTGAGCTACTTACACGCACAAAAACACAAACAGTTGCACATTTTCTCTTTTGAAAGCTTGTAGCGTTTTGGGGTTGACAAGGGTGATTCCACCTTAGTAATTTACTATTACTAAGATACATAATGTTCTGTCTTAAACCTATTTACTGCTTGTTTGACATGTTGACACTGCCACCAGGAACTTCAATTTCACCTTTAATGTAATCACGCTGTTTTTCTCTCCCCACACAATAAAAAAGCAGAACAGGTTTTTACACTAGTGTGAGTGAGTGTTTTTCATATCTTTGTCTAAAGAAAGAATTAAATTATTGTTGTCTAAGCTCATTGCGGCATTGTGCTGGATGTAAACCTGTTTTAAGTTTGGCTGTGTTGTTTAAATTAGTGATTTTTCACACTTGACATTGTGTTCAATGGGTAACCACAATCAGTATTGTGTATTACTTCACATCCTCTGTAGGTGTGCTGGGTGTGGCCTTGCTGATTCAGTGCCTCGAGACTGGGCGTTCTCAAAGTTTGCTGTGTTTGTGTTGGGCAGGGTTGACAACCAGCCTGAGTTGGAGACGAAAACGTCCAAGTGGCGTTACCCAGACGGCAGAGTTCTGCGACACCACCCCAAGCTAAACACTTACACCCTGACACTAGAGGATGTGCCAGGGAGTCCCCCACCTAACCTTCAGTGTGATGTGGAGGAGCTCCAACGCCTCATGCAGTCACATCAGAAGGTGAGTCAGTGATTTTGGAGTCCTCTATGGCAGTAGGTGGGTCTTATTTTCTTGCTCTGTCACTTTAAGATCACAGTGATATTTCCAGCTGGGTACAATCAGCAGCTTTTGTGGTAGGACTCTGCAGGAGGTAGCTATCTGTGACTAAAGGAAGTGACTAAATGCAGACTTTCTCTGTGCACGCACCCATGCTCTGTTTCTCTGGGTGAATGTTTAATGTCAGTTTTAATGAGGGCTGTATAAAGGTGTGCTGCTTTATTTAATAGCTGTTTTTGAACTTTGTTTATTCAGGAAGATCCTCCGCCACAGCATAAGCCAGCACTGCTGATTCTTAACAGAAACTCAAGTGATAAAACAGATTGCCTACCGCCCAATTCTCTGGAGCCTGAGCATCAGAAACCCAACTCTGAACAAGAAGAAACCTGCGAATCAAACAGCTCTGCCATTGAGGATGGATTGTGTATTCGTCAAAACGGCACAGGAGATCATGTCCAATCGCAGGACGGGGAGGTGGAGCTTGACCCGCCGGCTGTAGGGGATACTGGGAAGGCGTCAGACAAGGCTGACTGTTCGCAGCAGCGGGTAGTAGGCAATTCTGTGACTTTCAGTGCCCCTTCCTGTGGAAACCAGCGGGAGGAAGCTGATATAGAGCTCTGCGTAGTCAGTGCCAAACAGGGGGCTGCACAGCCTGATAAAGGGAACCAAGAAGAGCAGGAGGCTTGCCAGAGGAGTTTAGAGACTGAAACAGACAATAACTCTCAATCTGGAAACCTTGAGTCCCAAGACATGGGCCACGCACAATCTCAGGGTCTCCTCCCCATGGAAACTAGTCAGCCCTCACTAAGAGAGGAGGAGAGCGAGGGGAGTACAGATCTTAGTTGGCGAGGGGACTTACCAGAGGAAAGGGAAGGGGAGACGAGTAGCAGCCAGGAAATAGGCTTACACTCTTCAGCACTTTCTTCCCATGATCCAGAGGAAAACAGTCAGCACGATGACAAGACTGAGCCCAAGCTGTCTACGGAATGCTCGGTGGGAACAGATGAAGTTAAATTGACTTTAATTCAGGTAAATTCTGAGGTTACCTCATCCGTACGAATAGACGAAACTGTTATTTCTGATGGTGTTGACAAGCCACATAGTAGCCTAGAGACAGAGACAGGAAATCTAAGCAAAGACACCAAAGGCAACACTGAGTCAGTTTCTGGTTTGGTTACGGATGACGCTAGCATAAAGCAGAACTCTGGATGTAGCATTTCAGAGGGTGATCCTTTGGAATCGTTAAGTCTCCTGCCAAACATGGCACCAGGACCGGTGCATAAGATTCGACGAGGGCTCTCGCCTGTTACTGAGACTTCCTCTCATGAAGGTCCAGCTGTGGAGCCCTTTTCTGAGACTACAGAAAGTTTTCAACAGCCACACCAAGTCACACAATCTTCAGAAACCACATTAGAATGTCAGGAGATTTTGTTGAATGACACAGACTGTGACATCAGCACAATAACAGGGAATTCTGTTGGCATCACTGCGGAGATTTCGTCTTGCCAGATTGATGGGTCTCTACCTGATGGAAGCAAGGAGGAGGTAGCCCCGAATGAGAGGATAAACAACCCTAAGGAGATCTTTGAAGAGCCGGAATCAGTTAAGGACATTGTTGTCTCACAGTTGGATGACAAATCAAAATCTTCTGATGAATCTTCTCTGCCTGTTGACTCGGAAACCTATATTGTAAGTGATTTACAACAGGATGTGTCTACAATACTGCATTCTGAACATTGTGGAGCTGATATAATCGTAGGAACTCCATTCAAAGAAGAGGCATCTGAAACGTTTGTTCAGCCAGATTCTACGTCCAAACTGGTTGAGCAGATTCCTGAGGAATATTCTGGAGATACCACAAATGAAAATCAAATTTGTGAACCAGGGGAACCATCGGTTCTAGTGTCCACTTTGCAAGGGGAACCGGGATTTAAGGATGTTGATCCAGATGAACCTCTACAGGAAAGGGAAATTGACTCTACTTCACAGGACACAATCAGCGAGCTCCCTGATCCGTCGAAAATCACACACAATGATTGTCCTGAATCCAAAGCACAGTTCCAGCTCCCTGAATCCTCCAAGGAGAGTGCAAACACACCATTAGAACCAACTGTTGAATGTGTGAATGACCTAGACCGGTCTTGTGCCTCACTCCTAACAGAAAGCCAAGGTGACAGACCTTCTGAGACACCCTTCACTGATGGAGTAATTTAATAGCTGTTTTTGAACTTTGTTTATTCAGGAAGATCCTCCGCCACAGCATAAGCCAGCACTGCTGATTCTTAACAGAAACTCAAGTGATAAAACAGATTGCCTACCGCCCAATTCTCTGGAGCCTGAGCATCAGAAACCCAACTCTGAACAAGAAGAAACCTGCGAATCAAACAGCTCTGCCATTGAGGATGGATTGTGTATTCGTCAAAACGGCACAGGAGATCATGTCCAATCGCAGGACGGGGAGGTGGAGCTTGACCCGCCGGCTGTAGGGGATACTGGGAAGGCGTCAGACAAGGCTGACTGTTCGCAGCAGCGGGTAGTAGGCAATTCTGTGACTTTCAGTGCCCCTTCCTGTGGAAACCAGCGGGAGGAAGCTGATATAGAGCTCTGCGTAGTCAGTGCCAAACAGGGGGCTGCACAGCCTGATAAAGGGAACCAAGAAGAGCAGGAGGCTTGCCAGAGGAGTTTAGAGACTGAAACAGACAATAACTCTCAATCTGGAAACCTTGAGTCCCAAGACATGGGCCACGCACAATCTCAGGGTCTCCTCCCCATGGAAACTAGTCAGCCCTCACTAAGAGAGGAGGAGAGCGAGGGGAGTACAGATCTTAGTTGGCGAGGGGACTTACCAGAGGAAAGGGAAGGGGAGACGAGTAGCAGCCAGGAAATAGGCTTACACTCTTCAGCACTTTCTTCCCATGATCCAGAGGAAAACAGTCAGCACGATGACAAGACTGAGCCCAAGCTGTCTACGGAATGCTCGGTGGGAACAGATGAAGTTAAATTGACTTTAATTCAGGTAAATTCTGAGGTTACCTCATCCGTACGAATAGACGAAACTGTTATTTCTGATGGTGTTGACAAGCCACATAGTAGCCTAGAGACAGAGACAGGAAATCTAAGCAAAGACACCAAAGGCAACACTGAGTCAGTTTCTGGTTTGGTTACGGATGACGCTAGCATAAAGCAGAACTCTGGATGTAGCATTTCAGAGGGTGATCCTTTGGAATCGTTAAGTCTCCTGCCAAACATGGCACCAGGACCGGTGCATAAGATTCGACGAGGGCTCTCGCCTGTTACTGAGACTTCCTCTCATGAAGGTCCAGCTGTGGAGCCCTTTTCTGAGACTACAGAAAGTTTTCAACAGCCACACCAAGTCACACAATCTTCAGAAACCACATTAGAATGTCAGGAGATTTTGTTGAATGACACAGACTGTGACATCAGCACAATAACAGGGAATTCTGTTGGCATCACTGCGGAGATTTCGTCTTGCCAGATTGATGGGTCTCTACCTGATGGAAGCAAGGAGGAGGTAGCCCCGAATGAGAGGATAAACAACCCTAAGGAGATCTTTGAAGAGCCGGAATCAGTTAAGGACATTGTTGTCTCACAGTTGGATGACAAATCAAAATCTTCTGATGAATCTTCTCTGCCTGTTGACTCGGAAACCTATATTGTAAGTGATTTACAACAGGATGTGTCTACAATACTGCATTCTGAACATTGTGGAGCTGATATAATCGTAGGAACTCCATTCAAAGAAGAGGCATCTGAAACGTTTGTTCAGCCAGATTCTACGTCCAAACTGGTTGAGCAGATTCCTGAGGAATATTCTGGAGATACCACAAATGAAAATCAAATTTGTGAACCAGGGGAACCATCGGTTCTAGTGTCCACTTTGCAAGGGGAACCGGGATTTAAGGATGTTGATCCAGATGAACCTCTACAGGAAAGGGAAATTGACTCTACTTCACAGGACACAATCAGCGAGCTCCCTGATCCGTCGAAAATCACACACAATGATTGTCCTGAATCCAAAGCACAGTTCCAGCTCCCTGAATCCTCCAAGGAGAGTGCAAACACACCATTAGAACCAACTGTTGAATGTGTGAATGACCTAGACCGGTCTTGTGCCTCACTCCTAACAGAAAGCCAAGGTGACAGACCTTCTGAGACACCCTTCACTGATGGAGTAAAGATCCCTGCTGTAATTCCTGGTGGGGATGAATGTGATGACCTGGCTACCGATATGTGCGAGACAACTGTCTCAGGGGACAGCCCGTGCTCTGCCATAGACACCTCCAGTGGTTCAGCTCTGGAGAGCTCCTCCATGTCTGACCCACTCAATGCCTCATCCTCAACAGCTGAGCTCACTTCCCCTTTGGATATTAATAGTGGATTGCACCAGGGTTTGGAACACACTTCCCCAGTGGATATAGACAATGGTTTGTCTGAGGAACTGCAGCCTTCAGAAACACCTGAGAGCCTGAATGGATTACATCAATATATGCCTGATTGTTTGATGGAGCACAGTGAAACTCTTCAGAAATGTGCTGAGGAACCACATGTCGAACAAATGACAGGTGATGCATTTTTATTTATCATTCTGGCAGTGCTGACATAGATTGTGTAAACAATTATTTTAGGGAGTTTGATGCTAAAAGATAACGATACTTTTTACCGTCATCCTGTCTAACAGTTGTTTGAAAGTCTGAAACTTAGGCTGTATCCGAAATCGCCCCCTATACCCTCAAATAGGACACTATTTGAGGGGACAGCCATTTTTAGTGGTGTCCGAAACCATAGTGGATGTTCTCGAGTGCACTCATTTAATCCCACAGCGCACCGCAAAAACGCGTGTACAACCGATGTACACTTAACGTAGGGCTGGACGATATGGCCAAAATTGATATCACGATATATTTCTTAATTTCGGTCGATACGATATAATTCCGATATCGATATGAACACTATTTATCTGAAATAGAAATCTTTTGTAACATTATAAATGCCTTTATCATCACTTTTGATCAATTTTAAGCATCCTTGCTAAATAAAAGTATAATTTCTATAATTTCTTTCCCAAAAAAAGGGTATGAAAAGTGCTCCGAGTCGCTGCAGAAAACAAAAAAATTGAACAACAACAAAAACTGGAAATGTTGCTGGAGATGGGCTTATTTAAAATGAAAACTCATTCTCTGGCAGCAGGAGGCGCTTTTAGAGTGATAGAACTAGCGGTTTCTCCAGTAATGGCTGTAATCAAAGCAGCTCCGCTCATGAATGCTACTTTTATCAGATCAAATGAAAATGCCATCGAAACTTTTCTGAGGACAGTCAATTCCCTTCAGAGATACGTTCATATAAAACACCCGCGCCGTGTTATGATTTTGAAACGTGCAGTGCTCATGTTTATTCAACGAAGTCAAACGGCACAAATAAATCAATGTATGGGAAACTGGTAATGTATATCGAAATATCGGAAATGTGTTTAAAAATCATATCACCGTTACTGAAAAAAATTATATCGCGATACATATTGATATTGAATTATTGACAAGCCCTAACTTAACGGCTAGAGAATCCCCATAATGCACTGTGAGAGTCGCACGCCAAATGAATTCCCACGTCTCACCAGAAGACGGCGCCCACAGCTAAATCATCCATTCATTCATTTTACAACGCGCTCGTCCACGGCGTAATACAGCGTATACAACACAGCTACAAATTCATTGTAAATTCACTATTAAATTGTTTAACTAGGGTTTATACATAATTTCCGTGACAGAGTTTGAGATAAATCCTTTAATCTTACTACTCGAGCTGCCCGTTTCAAATGATTATTAAACAGCAAGCAAGCTATGCAAAAGAGGGAGTCCTTCCGGTGCACTCAATGTCCGAATTCACTCAATCGTTTTCATTCACTCCTTCAAGTGAACTGTATGAGTGGACTAATGTAGGGAATAGTGAATGAGGGTATAGGGGGCGATTTCGGATACAGCCTTTGTCCTGCCGCTAAATGAAGTGTCATGCCATTCCAATCAGATTGTTTACAGCTGAAGCTAATTTGTCATTAGCTTCATTGTATTCTGACACATGCTTGTGTGTGTGCATGTGAATACAATGGTGTTTGCCTTACAAACTATTTTCTATGGACATAACATTGAGTTATTCTTACTTAGGTCAATATTTATTCCCATTTTGTCTGTAATGTTATTTTTAGTAACGTTTAAGCAAAATTCTGCCATCGATCAGTGGTTTAGGTTTCCATCTGGAAGGGAAAAACCTTCTTTGTCATTCAGGTAACAGTGTTAATAGGTAGTGTTTACAAATGGCAGTGTGTATTTGCAGCACACTGTATCATGGCAACCTGGTGATGTCAACCCTGCCTCACATCATAGAATGAAAACAGTTGAAAGATTGTCTTGTGAAATTTTTTTTTACAAGGTAGACGCCCAGCTCTTTTCCACATGGATGAGAGTTCAGCATGGTTCTACTAATAGCTGCTTACTGTATGTGTTATTTATATCACATTCATGGAGCTGCTGAGCTCAGTTGGAAAGGAGGAATAAGTCATTTCCTTTTATCAAAAGTATAGGGTTAATAATGTATCTGAATGGTCTCATCACGATTTGTTCATTTCTAAGTAAACAAATAAACCTGCGCCACTGAAATGTTCGCTCTTTGGACATGAATCAGCAGCTGAGATAATGAATTACGTATTGATTTTTGGAAGTTTCAGTTAAAAGTCACGTATGTGCATTTTCTCGAAACTTATTTAAATGAAGCGTTTTGTTGTTTGTACATGCCTCATCATCTACAGTAAGTTTGACAGAATGACAACTGAAAAGTGCTTCAGCCTTTTTTCAGTTCCAAATTATAAATGTCCTCTGTCTTGATTCCACTTCACAGATGACAGCACTTTAGCAGAGGATGCGGTGGACGGACACCAAGACTCCTCAGCAGACATAGCAAATTCCGAAGCGGTGAGTATTTTTTGGCTATTATCCTCAACCTGCCATCCACTAAATAAATCATTAACATTTAGACCTCTTGGTATGATTCATTCAGAGTTTGCTTCCAGCCACCCTGAATTCTCAGTAGCTAGGATGCTGGTAGTTTCCCGAAAGGCTCCACAGAGCAGAAATTCAGGGATGTTTTCAACCTGACCTTCTGTCGTAAATCTGATTTCTTTGCCTGGTTGCTGAAAGTGCCTCAGCGTTCTGACGTAGGTCTGAGTTACAAGTGCCGAACTGTGTCACGCAAGGTCAAACTGGCAGATATGGGAACACTGGCACCCTACAGCTCACACTGTGGTTGTGTGTGTGTGCTGTCCTTTTTCTCATGGAGGAAAGATGACATCACCCTGAACACCTTTTTTCCCCAGTTGTTTGTCAGAGGGATGATATCAGTGGCGAGAAAACTGAGAGGGAGGAAGGGAAGATGTGATAGCTTGGGTATTTATGTGGGCCAGTAAGAGTGATAAAGTGAGATGTCTATCTTCAGTCTTTGGAAGTTTCTGATTAGAAAGAACTTCAGTTGTTTATTTTGTCATCTTCCTGTGGGAATCTGTATTGTTTTGACTTCTTCCTGTGCCTCCCAGTTTGGTTTTGGAGTTTTGGATATGATCTAATATTATTGTTGAGGAGGTGAAAGATAAAGTTAAAACTCAGAACTTTGGTGCAGTATATAAAGGCCCATTCACACCAAAAATGATAACTATAATTGTAATGATAACTGCAGCCATGAAGTTTTAATAATAATTCTAACGATTCTCAAACAATTTGTTCAAAGCAGTTGTAAGATTCAGTCTCTCTAAAACCCTCCTTTCTTTGAGCCTACTCTGCTCTGATTGGTCAGATGGCCCAGTCTGTTGTGATTGGTCTACCGCGTACAGCGCGTGTTGAAAACGATACGCCCATTGCCATAGTTCCGTATTTTGAACGCTCGATAGAAAATATAAACATCTATTATTTATCATACTTGTGATTAAGTGGAGCCAGCTGGTCCAAATAAACAGGGTACTGAGCCATCTTTGAAGAGCAAGCGTTTAGTGAATCCTGCTTTGAACTCCCTGAGATTTTTCTTTTAACTCCCCGAGATTAGAGAAGCAGTCGTCAGAAAAATGACGTGTTTGTGGGCGGGGTCAATTTGTGTGCTGCCGGCCAACGTAGAACATAGGCGGGAATTATGCAAATGTGTTGCCGTCACGGAAGTGGTATTCGAATTACTAATGACTCGTTTAGGCTGTAGAGAGTCGATTCTTTATTTTGGGAGACAATAACTTTATTTATCGTGCACTTTCGGCTTTACACAACTTTGCTGATCGTTTACATTCACATACAGCTACATTACACACTGCATGAAAGGCAATATTGGAAATGCCATAATAGGGGCACTTTAAAGAACCTGGCATATAACAAAACTGCAGTGCATACAATAAACAATACTTTCATCTGATGGTGTGGACGCTATCGCTACAGTTATCGTTTTTAGTGTGGATGGGCCGTAAAGCAATGGAAACTCATGTGTTTGCTAGCATGTTGCGACTACCATCAATTGTTTTGATTGTGGTGCACTCAAGCATGAGCGATGAAATTATCTTTTTCTCATACGTGATATTACCGAGTGACATAATGGGTTTTCATTCAGTCTTGTTTGTCTTCAAACAAATTAGCAGAGAATGCTAAATCTCATTTTGTAAAACCATTAGCTAGCTTTAGATGCATTCTTCCAGTTTAATTTGAATCCAGGCCCTATTTGAACAACAACAAAAAATATATGAATTACCCAGTTATTGACTGTCTTTTTTTTTTTTACCCTCTCTTGTCAAGGTAGCTTCTTCTGTCTCTGTTGCCTCTGAAATCAAGCTACATTTACACTTATCTGCTGTCTGGCATGCAGACTTGGACTGCATCATGAGGTTGTGTAGCTACATTGTCAGCATTTGAAAGAAATTACACTCTGGAACATTCTATCTTGAGAGACTCTTGAGATAAGAGCAGAGGCCACATTTACAGAGTATCCCAATTCTGACTAGCATGCTAACTTTATCCTTGCTGGTCCAATACAAACCACAAGAACGCCAGGGTCTTATTAGCAGTGCTTGCTAAAGCAGTATTACAGTTTGCATGTTTTTAAAACGAATGTATAAAATAATGACTTTTTTTAGATTTTTTTCTTATACCTATTTTAACTTTTGTTGTCATTCTGTCAGTTAATTCATGAAGGTGGATTCAAAATCGAATCTGAGGTTGCTTCATTCAATCTAATTTGTCACGCTGACAAATTGCTTAACTAATTTGTATTTTTCCACATCAGAAAAGCTCAGTCTTCAAATATTTCTTACCTTTGGAGGTAGTTGATGAATGAATTTCTCATTGCAGCTGCTTCCAACAGAGGGCAGCGTGAAATCCAAGTTATTTTTGAAGAGGCTGAAGAGATTGTGATAATTAGCATGAGCGCATTATTATGCACTTTTTTTAAAACGTGGGCGAACGAATAATTCACAATAAGATCAGAAACATGCTTTATGAACATAAATGGATTCATGAATATTTTTCATCCTGCACGTATGATGGGTAATGGGGTGGTTTGGCTGTTTTTATCTTATTATCTTGTGGCTTCTAGAGCGCTGTGGCTCCCTCTTGTGTTAGGATGCGATATAACTCTTTCCAGATGTGCACTGAGCTGTATAGTAGTCTACATATGTGTTAGAGAGAGGGACAAGGGCAAAAAAACACAGACTGTGGTCTCGATATGCCACCAGCAGCATGAGAGCTGCCTATTCTCTCCTAACACAGCTTTCTTCGGCTCTTTTCATCTGTCCTCGTGTGGCAGGCCAGATGCATTGTGGGAACCCCTTTAAAGGAGTTCCTTTTTCACTAAACATCCAAACTAATAAACACCACACAAGCCCACCCCTGGGAAACAGAGCCTTAGCGCGCACACTCACAAACACGCACGCAAATCCAGCATCTGGTGTGTTGGAAAAAGGGACAAGGCTGTCTCTCAAGTGCTGGAATGTGAAGTGTAAGAATGGCGTGATGTTGAAGAAAAGCAAAGGGCTGGTGTTTGGTGGAGTGGGAGGGTTGAAGACACCACTGAGGCTGGTCTAGATCCGCACACACTCCTTCCATTCATGCATCTGTTTGTTGGCTCCGCCACTGATGGAAATATCCTTTGTTTTCTTCTCACTCAACTTCTGTGCTTCTGCTCGCCCCTTTCAAGTCTTTCTCTTTTTTTCCCTCTGTCCATCATGCTTTGTTGTTTTCTCTCATTTCCAGCGTTAGTTCTTCCAAAAAGTCATTTACTCACCCTCATGTTGATCCAAACCCATATGGCTTTCTTCTGTGGAACACAAAAGCCGAAATTTATATTTTAGTGCTTGACACTCTTTTCAATGCATTTTCTCATAAACTTCTTATAAAAGTTGGCCATATAACTATATTTGAACTATATTTATGTCTTCTGAAATTGTAAGGTACCTTTTTATGGCTGACTGATTTAAAAGGTAAAACAAACCTCTGAAATGTGTGTTATTGATCTTTTTGTGAATAATTCATCTTTGCATACATTTAGAAAACAGATGAACAGATTATTTTCCCTTTACTGCCAGCTTAATTACGGTTGAGTGAAATAATTCAAAAACCGGATCAGTCAGATTTGTGAATGAATCATTCAGACTAGTTTTGTAAATTTGATTAACTGATTCATTTAGAGACCTGTCAGAGGAATGATTCATTCATGATTTGGACATCACTGCTTCTCTCATGAACCTCAGTAATTTTAATGACTAATGTCAAATTTCAGTCTATTATTCACATAAAGGTTACCGTATGATTTCAGAAACTCTCAATATTGCACTCAACTCACTTTTATGATGCTTTTATGGTGTGTTTTTGTCACTTGTTTTTGTTTATTATATTGAAAAGAGCTTTCGGGATATTCTTGTATTTCACAGAACAGACAAGAGGGTGAGTAAATACTGACAGAATGTTATATATTTTGGGTACAACTATTCATTTAAATCATAGATTGTGTTGGATGAGTGGTCTTGAGTGAAACGTCGGGATAACATGCGCCGGGATCCCCACAAAGAGCCCTTGTTTCTCCTTTCCCCTCCTCCACTGGATAATCACACGCTTGCATGCAAACACACAGTAAAGATCAAATTGACTGCGTCAGGACATCTGAATATCTCTTTCTCCTAAGTAAAAGTAAGGATCTTCATGCTAAACATGGAAAAGTGTATGAGACTTTAATTGAAGGTATTTTTGTGCGCAAGGTGTGTCTGTGTGACAGTTTTGTGTGTTTTTGTAGAAAATGATATATACCCACACCGTGACACCCTCATTATACTGTATAGTGGATGGAAACTCCCAAGCATATGTGGAAAAACAGTGCAATTCGGCATGCATTGGTTCAACAACAGGCTTGTCATAATGCTACCACCCGTGTTGTAGTCCACAGTTTTAAGTAATGCAATGTTTCAATTTAGCGTTTTTTCTAAATCAATTATATATTGTGCAGTGGTTAAGTAGCAAGCATGGCAGTGCTGTTTTAATATTATTTATATACTATCATATTTGAATTGGCTTTTACATTTATATTTTCAGTTTCCATTTTAATTTGAGCAATTTTGTTACGCATTTGTCATTTTTATCAGTTTTTGTTTAAAATAATTATATTTTAATTTTAGTAATTTAAGTACTTTAAAACTTACCGTTTTTCCATCTAATATTTATATTTTATTTTATTCCTGCTTTTTTTTCAATGAATAGAAAGTATTTATAATAGTTTAAATTAACAACAACACTGAACCGGTATTTCCACATGAACCCTTATCTCCTGAATTTTGTGTAAAATGAACCCAAGATCATTTACTTCTGATTCTTTTCCAGAAGTTCAATTTGAGTTCCTCGCACCGCCTCAATTGCATTCAACTCCAGTGAATCCCATCAGCCCGTGCTCTGGCCTTTTATCA